TGTGTGTGTGTGTGCCTGCCTGCCTGCCTGCCTGCCTGTCTGTGACCGTATTTGACAGGAGCTGCTGATAGTCTGGAGCTGGAGTACGGGAGTGCGGAGGATTGTAAGGCTCTGGGGGAGTACGTTGGCGGCCTGCTAACCAAGCGAAGATATCGGTGGGTGTCCCGAAGGGAAGCCATCTACAGCACCTCGACTGCGGACAGACATGCCACTGTTCGACTGAATGTTCACGCGACGGCAAGCTTACAGCTACGTTAGTTTGTTGCCACATGCAAGGTATGTTGGACAAGCTTCTTCCAGAACTGTCCTCCGGAGCATGCGATCACGTTCAAGACCTTGAGCGCTTAATGAAACATGTCGTGCCCAGCCTATACGAGTGTAGTGCACCACGTTCGGCTCTGTGTCTGTTCAACATTGATTCGTTTTGTGTGCAAAGTGCGAGCATCTCTCGTTGTCGCTGCGTGTCCCAATCAAGGAGCAAATGCAGAAGGACTTTCAGAATGTGCAAAGCCGAGACTGCTGACAGCATGTGAGCTGGCCCAGTGACGAGTGCAGCACGACACCTGGCTGTAGAAAGATTTGGAGATGGTGCTAATATGAAAACTGAAGCTGCCGGACACTCAGCATCTGCACAATAGACAATACTGGTAGCTGCGGCGCTGCCGGCAGATACAGTGATCTTGGTTTTCGACACTGCCCGTGCCGTTTGCCGCTCACAGTCTGAGAGCTAGGTTGTCCCTGCCATACTTAACTATAATAATAATATTGATCAAGAACACGCAAAGCTGTATTGTGCGGTCTGTGGTGCTGTCCAAGTTTCTCGCGTCTGGTGCTGCTTTGGAAAGATGAGTTGACAAGCTCCTCCTGAACATGCATAGGATGTCCGCACATCTGCGAGCAATAATGACCTTGTACTGGGAGTGAAGCCTGGTGCAAACAGTCGGAGTGTCACTGTAGGTTTGGATGATATCGCAAAGGGGCCAGTCCTGGGCGCTCCGTATTTCTTTCAACAATCCGTCCTTAAAGCAATATGTTTGGCACAGCCTCTATGTAAATCGTAATTGTGCGGCTTGGCAGCCACCTTGACAAGCTGGTGCCATGCCAAAAGCCCGTCCTACTTGTAGCATGCCAGTTAAAATGAGGAGTTTCCCCCTATCTGATGCCGTTCACCAAACTCATATTTTCAGCGCAGCGTAGTTTTTGCGATGAGTCTGTGGCAAGAGTCCAAGCAGTGCTTACGGTGTATATGGTGTATTGATGTGAAGAGCGCTGCATGATGGCTCAAAGCTTGGGCAGAGCTAGTCGGAGCCGCAGCCGAGATGGTGTCGCTGGGCGTGCCCACTGCCAGGTTCGGCATGCCGCCAGATCCTGACAAGCCAGAGCCGCACTATCCAGGCCATGGGATTCGGGCTTCTCATTCTATCCCTTCCTGAGTCCCTTGCCAGGCGTCTCGTCCAACAAGTTTGACGCCCTCGGGGCGCTCAAAGTCTACAGAGAGAGTCTCAAAAAAGATGCGGATATTCGGGCGAATCAGATGCTTGGAACTGACTTGTCATTGCTGTTGGCTTGAAAGATCTGGAAAGCCATTCTGTCTACTCGCCTTCACGGGCCGTTCGCGTGAGGTCATACAGAAATTTGCAAAAACCAGCTGAGGATTCAGTTGCAAGCTGAGAGACCTGGACCGGTTCATCACAGGCCGAAAGCGTGTCGGATCAGTTTGTCTTTGCTACGACTGCAGTTCGGGAACCCTGCGAGGCGCCGCCTCGAAGACTTGATGCCCGGCTTGGCTTCGGTGGCGGAAGCGTATGAACACTTGGGATACAGTGCTGATCCCATCACACGGCGAATGCTCCCTCCGACACAGTTGTCTGGTCATGTCGAAGGAGCTGACTAGAAAATTACAGTACTGTGCGGCGGCATCATGGGGTCCGACGCTTTTTAGGATTGGGAATAATTAGTCCGCTTGTTTGCAAGTTGAGTGGCTGTCTTTGTGTCATGCACACACCTTGCAGGATCTCGACCCGACGACCTTCAGTCTCGAAGTTCGAAACAGTCCAGGCTATCATCTGTTTTACGAGGCGGACAAGATCGCGATGTATCGCGACAATCCAAGCGTGTTTCCAAGTCACTCTGGCTCTCAGGGACTGGCGCGCTCGCGACGCACGGCAGGCGGTGGTTTGTGGCACGGGGGAAAACCGGGGCACTGTCTGCATAATGTAATTAACCTGTGGGATCATGCAATCTCTGACAGACAGTGTGGCTGTTTGCAGAGCTGTGCTGGATTTGGCAAGAAGCATTTAAGGGTTTGCCCGTCGTATCCAGAGCCACCGAACTCGCCTGTGGTGCAAACGGAAAATGGTGAAGAAATAAGAAGTGTGAACAGCCTTGATAGGAACCAGGTATGCAGAACCTGAGATGCACCTGCAAGCTGCTTACCAGTCCCGAACCCGCAGTCCTCAAATGGTAGTGCCTGGTAGTGGTCGAAGGTGGAGGCAGCATTGCTTTGTGTTTCATCACTTCACTGTTGGATCGTTGCGCTGCACAGGACTATGTCCGAAGGCAGGCTGCGCCACTTCGGAAGAGTCGAGGGAGGAGTTTGCTGTCTCAGCCCGCATGACAAAGCGCTCATTCAAAAGGAAAAGGAGATGATCCTGAGAAGCTGTGGACAAAACAGAGTGTTCACATTTATTTGATTTGCATGATTTGGTTTGGATGCCATCGCTGCGAAACTGGGCAGGTAGGGGCAGCAGGCAGTGCTTCTTCCGTTCCCGAAGGGACATGTGGGCACTTTGATCTCTACGAAGCATTCGAACTGGCAAAAAGAAAAAGAACTCTCGCCGTGCAGGCCGAGTGCAGCTTGCAGCCTTGCCAAGCTTTTTGTGAACCTTTCCTTCGCATTTCATCTCAGTGAGATCGTATCGGCTGAAGGTTGCACAGAGGAAGCGGAACTACCGACAAGCTGGTGCGAGAAGCGACAGAGGCCTCGGCCAGGATGGTAAAGGCTCCGAAAACATGTCAGAGGAATTGAAATCGACCACGAGAGAGCGGCAAAAGCTTCAGACATCCTTCCGCAAGACCTTTTCATCTGCTCCTCCAGCATAAGTGTGCCTCGGGCAGATGCTTTGACTCGTACGACATAGATCGAGATAGTATGATGTGCTACAAGCATGCGGCTAACGTGCTTTACGTGGGCAATGCCGCACGAAAATTGACTTGGTGGTCAAGGCTGCACGAGCCAAAGTCAAAACTAAGGCTGAAGTACACAGAATGCTTGTACCTAGTACTGTAGCAGCAGCTAAGGATCTACACATATAATTACTGGAATCACAAGACGGCACACTGTAAGAGTGCGCTTTCTGTTGTTTTGGACACGTGCGACTTCACAAAGAGCGGACAACTGGAGATGGCGAAAGGCCTCGTAGAACAATTACAATAAACAAATTACGCCAACAAACAAGCGAAATCCCCCACATCATTCAACAAACTCAGAAACAAAATTAAACCAGACCCAGTAATCAAAACACTAACACAAACATAAACACACAAGGCACACACACACACAAAAAAAAATAAAATAAACACAATATCCTAGTAATCCTAGATTTTGCACTCTGCAGCCAGGGACTCCCATTAACGTGTTTCTTGTTTGTGTTTCTTGTGGTTTGCTTGCCTATTCCCCGGTCAAGTTACGGCTTTCCAGCACGCTTCTCCTTGCGTGCAAGGAGTTGGCGATTAAGAAAGAGAAGTCAACAAAAACCAAAAGCACAATCATGCCAAAATACAATCTTCGGGGATTCTGGCGACGCAGTGCACCAAATCTAGGAGCCCTGGGAAATTGCTTATTTCGTTTGTGTGTTTTGACTGTTGTTTGTTGGTTCTTTTGGTTCCTTTTCCTATTCTTTGGTCGCGTTGCTTTCCCCTGCGAATAGGCGTATATGTGCGTCATTCGTCAAAGATTGGTAAGTGTGTAACAAGAGCTGTGCACATATGAAACTGCACGCTGTACCACTGCTCTCAATGTACTGTACTCTATTCCTGCATGCGGATATAATTTTCTCCCAGGACAGGTCGACATAAGGCATGTAATCCAACATCTTACAATGCAGTTACATTTATGAGTACATATATGTATGTAAATGAATACCATTTTTACAGATTTCTCAAAATCGTAATGCTATGAGTACGCATACCTTAGCAACCTCCTACCATACACGTATAACAAGTGAATTACGGTGGAGTCGCACTTGTAGTGGAGCCGTCGTGAGAGTCTACGTTCTAGCAAGTGCGAACTTAGCAGGAGCACACGAGCAAGCGCACACACACACACCAACCGCTGGTACTTACAAGACCACTAGCAATGAAAGTATACGGAAGAACTACCAGTTGTCCGACAACCCTTCTGGTATCTGTTGCTTGAGTGTGTAAGTATTATACACTCATTTATTGATATACTTGTTCGTTTAACCAACACTGAGTTTATATAAATATTTTGCTTTCAACAACTAGCTTTGGTGATTGATTTCCGTTTCCCGTCATTTCACGCAGTGTGGCGTGCGTTTAATAAATGAAGAAACAAATAAATACATATACAAATAACAAACACTGATATATACCATGGTCTACTAGGCTATTTAGGGGCATGCGATATGCTCGTGAAGCATACTTTTTTGTATTAGAATTAGCTATATAGCCTGTGATCGTTGATTTCGTATTGCACTGACATGTGTGTGAAAGCACTGGGAAGAAACCGAAAACTATAGCGGTATTGCTTTTCTATATACGTATGTTTGTCCAGATGTAGCTTTTCCTTTCGCATGAAGCTATGCTGTGTCAGACAATCTATCGTACGAATTCGGAAACTGGCAACCTGTCATACCACATGACATTGTGCGCAGCTACTGTATTCTGCTGACTTTTCTGGCAAATGACCTTGACACTTCTCCATGTTATACGACACAGACTCACCTTGATATTTAAGCATAACTAGATATACACATATATGATAGATACATACATATACACACATGTATGTGTGCATGTATATATACATACATAGATGTAAATGTGTATGCGTATAGGTAAGGAAAATTGTTATTGTAGCTTGTGGCATCTGTGCTTCCGCAGTAGGAAGCTTCTATACATATCTAGGCTAGCTACATGTGTACAACTGTGCAAGTATGTATGTATGTATGCGGCGTGAAATCGAGTTGAATATGTTCTGTCTGGTGCATGTGTGCAGGCGGGTATGTCTACTTTCATCATTATATATGAATATACGCATATAATATGCATCTGATAGATATATATATATATACATATGTATATGCATATATATATATATATATATACATATACATATGCATGAATATGTGTATATGTATATATTTTTGCATGTGTATATATATAGATATGCATATAGTAATCGAGAGAGAGAGATACACATGTATGAAAGTATGTACAGTATATCAAAGCAAATGCAACTGCTACTGCAACGCTAAGAAGCGCGGTCTCACAGCGACCCGGTCTCCAAGATTATGTGTATATACATGATTGAATATACACACGTACATACATCCTCTAGGAAATGCTGGACAAGGACTCGTCCGATTCGGGCCGGAGACACGAAAGAATTTGCCTACCAAAGCAATCCCATGGCTGTCGCAGGGTTCTGGCTCAAGATGCAGCGACCCCAGGCGATGCTCGACCTCCCGAGGCGGCGTCGCTTGGAGCGCAAGGAGAGATCGAAGTGACGAAATCACCAGGCCGACAACGAGCACGCCGCGGAGCTTGCCCGGACGGAGCACACCGCGGTGCACACCGCGTACCAAGCAGCGGCCAGTCTCGCACCCAGAGCCCCGACTGTGCTAGATGCCTTTGTCAAGAAGTTCCAAGACATGAAACCTTCGTGCGGGCAATGTCTTGAATGCTTTGCCATCTTGTGCATGGGAATTCCTTTGCAATTCGTGAACTACAGACGAGAAGCTAACTCACTGGCGATGACAGCATTGTTTGCTGTAGTTTCGTGTTATGAAGTCTAATTAGCGATTGCTCTGGGTTCAAGCAGGGCGGCTAATGCTCTCCTGGTCGGGTATGACTTCCTGTGGTGAATTGCCCACGACATCACTTCATTGAGTGTTGTGTAGAAGTTGCTGATGTGCTGCTTTCTGCGACCAAAAGAGTAGCGCCAATGAAGTCCTGTCAAAAACTCAAGCGAAGAACACAAACAGTCGAACGTGCTGGTGAACCCGACGCCCCAAAACAGCAAGAACGAGCGGCTCAAGAACCTAGACTGGGTCCGGAGGGCCAGCCGGAGAGGATCTGCAATCTGAAAGAGCCTGAAAGACTCTGTTTCTTGTAGCATGTACTTGTGCCGAACTTTCTTTCACAAGCCTGCTGCAGTTTGACAGGCCAGCTGCAAAAACAAGGTAGCCGGTTGTGGCTGGCATTCCAACTTATGTGTTGATAGGTAGTCTCTGAGATCGCAATCGAATCCACTCGACAGGCTCGTCAGTTTTTGTAGCAGGTTTTGGGGAGTCATGGCTTCCGTACCAAACAAAAGTCGTAGTGGCAGGAGATCACCCACTGTGCAAGCTCAGGCCTCGGGTTTCGTGCTGCCCGCGGAGCTGGGCCTTGCAAGAAGGCCGGATGCGGTCAGTGCGATGGTTCTGGAAGCTCAGTTTGCTGCGAGCGCTCCAGGACTTTCAACGCCACTGCAGCTCCAGTCAGACTCAGAAAACTCCGATCTAGTCCACTACAGACGAAACAAGTATCCAAGGTCTATGCATTGTCGATCACGCCCAGAACTGGGCTGTATGGGCAGCGGCCACAAACCGTCCATGCAGCATGTTCTGGGAAGCCGCTGCACGAGCGGGAGTTTCCAACGAGGCGTCTGCAGCAGCCTTGCTTTGACACTGTTGCCTCACCCTGCCTGCAGCTACGCTGGCTGCTTCTCGACTCGTAGGATGTCTTTCAAGCTTCGAGCTTGTCGTGCAAGCGCTCGCACCCCACCCTTCCGTTTCTCAAGAAAAAAGCTGCTTCAATGGTTGTTTCGGCTAACACGGAGGATCTTGCCGGAGTGCGGCTGGTGCGAAGGGATTCGCCGGAATGTGATTCGACGTTCATGCGGGACTTTTTAAAATGGTCCTCAATACGGCGAGCTTGCCACTCATGGCGAATGTAGTAGATCTTGCACATGCAATCAGTATAGTGATAAGACGTGATGTGGCAGTACGGTTGCTGTTGGTTTCTTTCCGTCTGCAGTCGCAGAGGTGCAGTTATTTGCTCGTCCCTGAGTTCTTTCCAAATCTCTGTTTGCGATTCAGGCACGGTTGCATTCTCAGGACACCGGCGCGCGTATTCAAGCTGTCAAAATCAACATGCTTCAGTGGACCATACGAGCACATCGTGACGAAGACACCGTCTTGGAAAGCAATGGCGCGCATCAAGTACTCCAGATCTTTGAACACATAGCTGTCGCGTTTGCCTTTATGCAGTTCCGGGGTATGTTTAAAGTATATCTTGATTCCGGTTGGTTGATTGGCTGGCTGGTGGGTTGGTTCGGTGATATGGGTGATGCGTGGGTTTGTTTGGTTGGCTGGGTTGGCTGCACTTTAATTACTCTCCATGCACCTGATGAGCTCATGGTGAGCACGATTAGCTAGACCGGTGAGGTTGTGCACGTACGTTGCACGTGTCCCTCTGCTATACTCGCAGTGCATGTCCTCCGAACTTTCAAGAGACTTCACAGCAAGCCGAGCCACTCAGCAAGCTTAGATCGGCTGGACTCTGTTCCAGCGAAGTACCGGAACCATGCACGGCCCAACATCACACAAGCAACAGAGTCGCTACAGTGAACTATCTCGCAAGTACAGTGTGGTGCACGAAGAACGATGCAAGAAAACGCATAAGACATGTATAGCAAGACGAAATCACCCCGCCTTCCCCCACTCCCTCCTCCTCCTCCTCCTCTATTGAGCTTCGAAAGCTACCAGTAGCAGCAATTGGCCAACCACATGTTTTGAACATGCGCCGTACACCCCTTTTGTAACTTTATTTTTCCCGCGTCCAAGCCAGCATGGGGAACATTCAAAGTAAGGCCTCCTTGCAGAAGATGCCGATTGAATTTTGCAGGCCGCTTTTTGATCCCTTGCCCCTTGGCTTGGATCTCCAGTGATGGATCTGCACAGACTTGCAGACACGAGCAGAAAGCAACTCGCAACAGAACCAGGCATCTTGACCTTTTGCGCTACAGTCGGTTGAAAGTGCACCCCATCCCCTCAGGTCGTAGCTTTCCTCGTGACAAGGAAAGCTGGCATCTCACATCTCTCACGAATGGTGCTGCAATCCCATCACGCTCCTTCCCCTTTCAGAAATCCAGCAGCCTATAACAAAACAGAAAAGAACTACGAACACACCGGCACTCGTTTGCGGCTTAGTCTGCCGTTCCAAAATGCGGGAGTTTGTGTGGCTGTGAACTCTTGCCAGCTTCGAGCCGTGCGCAGTGCGGCCGAGTCGTCCCCGGATCGACCATTGCCAGATCTCGAAGACGCTGATAATGCTTCGCACGTCGCAGGTTTGGACTGGAGCCGGCAGGAGCGGCTGCCGCTGGCGACGTTATCATCACCAGGTCCTCGGTCAGAACGTGCCCCTGGTTGGATCTACTGCATGCTATCTGTCCGTTTGTCCATATCCCTTTGCGAGCGAAGTCGGAGGTACCCTGGGGGACCTCTTTCTCAATGCAGCGTGGATCGTGAGCCAAAAGCTCCAGCCCATGAATTCATGACAATTTTTGATGGCACAGCTGGCTTGCCAAGCTGGCATCGTAAGATTTTGTCTGCCTCGAGAGGCACATAGACGGATGTCGCAACGAGCGCATCGTGCACACTTCTCGTGTAGACTCTAAGACATTGTAAGACTGTAAGTGAGTTGTCTCACCTTTTGAAGTTCAGTTGTGCGGAGCAAGCCGCATTGGGCGAAGGCATGCTGCAGAAGTGCACATGTGCCAAGATTGTCCTACCATGTCGAAGTTTCACAATGAGGTGGCTCGTGCGTGGTTTGGGGGAGCCACAAAATCATCCAACTCCTTGTCTGCAAGTCTTGGCTGTTCTATGACATGTGTGCCTGGTCTTGCCACACCCGCTTTTTATCCGGCTCCTGCCAGGTCTCCTGCAGCACAGCGTGTCCGCGATCCCCTCCCCAAAATCCACAGCTTGCCATGGGCAGACGTCCGGCCAAGTGCTACCGGTACAACAAGAACAAGCCCTACCCAAAAACACGATACTGCCGAGGTGTGCCCGACCCGAAGATCCGGATTTTCGATGTTGGGAAGAAGAAGATGCCCTGTGACGAATACCCTGCTTCTGCACACTTGGTGTGCGATGAAGACCAGCAGCTGACTAGTGAGGCCCTGGAAGCTGCGCGAATTGCGGTCAACAAGTATATGATCACCAATGCCGGCAGAGATTTCTTTCACATTCGTATTCGGCCTCATCCCTTCAATGTCCTACGAATCAACAAGACTCTCTCATGCGCTGGCGCAGATCGGTTGTCCAGTGGAATGCGTGGAGCTTTCGGAAAACCCTATGGCACAGCCGCACGCGTGGACATCGGTCAGGTGTTGATCTCCGTGCGGACCAAAGATGAGAAGATCCAAATTGCGGTCGAAGCATTGCGTCGCGCAAAGTTCAAATTTGCCGGTCGACAGAAGGTCCACATCTCCTCCAAGTTTGGATTCACCCGCTTCACCAGGAAGGAGTACACGAATTACAAGGCGCAGGGACGCCTGATTCCGGACGGGACGAACGTGCGCTGGCTCTCCAGCCGTGGGCCGCTCTGGCGCCTCATTGGAAGAGAGAACGCATAGAGGATGCGCATGGAATAGAGGGAGTCTTCAACGAAGTGGACATCACGCTGCTGCACAAAATCGAAGTTTTTGTCTGCGAGTGCCAGTCTGGTCTTGTTTTGTCTGTTTCAGTTCTTAAAATGTGCGGGGAGAGCGACACAAGCTTCGGTCTGCTCTGTGTTTCGCAGAGATGTGGGTCAAATCGCAGCCATTATGCACATGTTCAATCTGCCTCAGGTTCGATTGTTCACATAGCGAGCTTTGGAACTACACAGCGAGCTTGAAGAATTTAAGCAGTTGGTCAAACAGGTGGGTGTGGGCTTACAGCCATGCCAGCAGGCCATGTCGAGCCATTCGGCAAGGCCTGACAATATGTGCAACAGCTCGGCAGCGCTACCTTACTAACTGGGCCTTACACAAACTTTGTCTGGCAGGACCGCGCTTGGCGGACTGCAATGGCTGGAAGCTCAAAATCGTGCAAAACCGATGAAGACTGCTGTTCTTGTTGCTGCTCTGTGTCAGTAATGTAGTGCTGCCTTCGCCCTGCAGAATGTGCGACCCAACGGGTCGACGCCTCTGCGGGTCGGCTACAAAGATCTGCATAATGAGTAATCACAAGTAATTTGTTAACTATGAGAGGTGCAAACATAATTTGCAAACCACGCACGTATCGTTCCGGCTATCTGATCCCTGTACAAGCTACCAACCTTCTACCCGAGAACTGCTTGCATCAGCAGCTAGTGACAACTCGCTCAAAAGGGTTTGGCATGGCACATGCAACTTCGCTTGCATTCTGTCGCTCGTTGCATCGGTTGGTACCATTCATGCTGCAAAGCCTCCCATCCCCGAGCAATTTGCAAAGGGAAGTCATCGAGATGAGTACAACTCTGCTGGCGTCCCAGCTTGCTCCGGTAGGCTCAAGTCTGTGTTCACAGGGCAAACTGTTTGTGCGCGCGTGCTGCACCGGCTGCAAATACGCGTCTGCATGAATCAAGGTGCGCGGCTCACAACGCACAGCACAGCCTTGACCCCAGGGTAGCATCTAGGTGTGCTCCTGCCGCTTCGACGCCTCCAAACATTTCTCGCTGGTATTCACTTGGGCTCAGGATCCGTCCTGCTGGCAGTCCCCCGATCCAAAGCCAGTGCCTGAAATCTGCGGCTCGGGAGAGACACTGCCTGGGCATCCCGACCTGCGGCAGGTTACACCGGTGCCATGGCAGAAACATACTCCGCTTATCTTGGCCTGAGAGCAGGCCTTCTCGACCCCAGGGGCATTCAAGACTCTGTTCATCTCCGTTCTGTTGCGCTTGCAAGGTTTGCATGGCATCTTGTTTAAGGATTGCGGCTGCAGCAAACCTCGGAGTGCCCCAAGCCAGTCCAACCACGCGTGTTGGCAGAAGGCCGTGCAAAGGTCACAAGTGCTGTAAGTTTGACCAAATTTGTAAGCCAATATTCCACAGGCGTCCGGCATTCTACCGAGAAACCTCAGCACCGTAACAACACTTTACAAAACCCATCATCGTCTGAGAAAACGCCTGGGAAACCTGGGCCCATGTCCTTTTTTTAGGTCGTTCGGAAAAGGGTCGGGGAAGCTAACAACAAGGAAATTACATTGATCAGGTGCTGGTAATTTACGGGTTTTGCAGGAATGGAAGGCACACCCAGAAACAAAAGTTCACCGAAACTGCTGGGTTTGCGGCCTTGGACGGGTAAGCCCAAAACTAAAGCCCGACTGTTGACTTAAGTCTCTTGGAAGCAAGCAACACAAACTAAGACAATTGGTATGGTGCACATTGGTGTCCAACACAATCAGTTCTGAAACGGAAAGCACCGGAGAGGCATGTAGCAATGTGAGTTCTGAGACCCGCGAAAATCTAGCGGCTTGGTTGATGGAAATCCCTAGTACAATCTGACTGTTGTGGCCTACCGTGCTCGTGTTGCGGCCGTGAATACTAAGAAGTAAAATGCTTCTAAAGCAACAGGCTCAACGAACGTGCGTTGTGCAGAAACACCCAGCCTTCTTCGCGATCAAGTTGCAACAGTTGACGAAATTACTGCTCTGATGCTGAAGACACTGATGAAACAAATCGCGCAAGGCCCCGGCCATAATTCAATTGTTACCTTCTATCTCAAGCCAAGCAGAGGTTCCACGTGGCTGGCCGAGGGCCTCAAGTCCGACCACTGATTTCTTAACATACTACATCGAGTTCTTCTGACACACAGATGCACATGCTCACTGTTGTGCCAGTGGTAGCAATGTGCATATAGCACCGCATCTTCGCCAAATGATTTGCCAGGTGACCGCAGCCTCGTCGCTGGCAGTCGTCCGATACCATTATCTGTGACGGTGAGAGTTCAGACACTGGCCGGTCATGTCTCCCGACTTCCAAACAGTGGGTGCAGGGCACAACGCTCTCGGAGAGCCTCGTTTCCGAGCAGGCCGAGACAGCTCGGCTACGGAGAAGCCTGGTTTCGGAGATCATGTGTTGACATGGCACGTCGAAGACGAGACAGCTTGTTTCACTTGCTCTGGTCTACATCACCCACTTGCCAAATCGCTTTGGCCCTGCAGGTGCCCCACGAGTCTGCGCTGGAACGGGTTCGCTCAATACTCCACGGAGTGTCGCGGCCGTCAGGCACGCAGAGCTGCTTGAATGATTCAGCAGCAAGTGTTTTCATGTCCCAGCAGGAAACAAACAAATCAAGGATTAAGAAGAATAAGACACGCACAAGACAGCAGAAAGGGCGGGACTTCTCATCATAAGCTTGAACCGGTTCGCGCAGCCCTACTCTCTGAGAGGAAGGAAGTGCAGAACGAGAACAGCTTTTGTCGGTTGGATACAAGTTACGAGTTCTCATAGCAATCGCGCAGGAATCTTGCGAACTTGTCGCAAGGGCGACAGTCTTCTTGTGGCAGTGGACAGGAGGTATCTATGTATGTATGTAGATATGTATGTGTGTATATATGTATATTTGTGTGTATGTATGTAAACATGCATGCAAGCATGCATGTATATGCATGTGGGACATATTATATAGGCGGATATATATATATATATGTATATATATATATATATCTGTGGGACACATGGGTCCCCTCCCCCCCCCAACGCCCCCCTCCTCCTCACCCGAAGCATTACTGTACGCGGCCCAAGAATTCAATGTAAAGACCCAACACAGTAAACCCCTTACCATTTAACCTTGCAGCGCATATACGCGAACTGTACTGCAGGTGTACGCGCATTTTCCCCCACTCCGCGGTCTCCTGGATGTCCCCCGGCTCGTTCTGCGCGGCGTCCGGCTGGTCGTCGTCGACGAGGATGACCCCCCCGTCCCAGAGCCCTTCGTTCCACGTCGCAAGGTGGTGCTGTGCCTGACGTTCTCCACGTGTCGGGTTTTTTGGTTTAGACGTCTTGTTTCGGAAAGTGCACAAAACAATGGTATTTACTTTATGGTGCTTCTGCGTGTTATAGGGAACACCCGGCTTTGTTACTGTTGACCAAACGAGTTGTCTGTAGACGTCTGGGTTACTCTTGTGCAGTTGCTACATGGCGCAAATGTCCAGTCTCCGCGACCAGTATAAATCATAGGGCCATAGGGATGTGAAGGGATTGCATATCAAACCAATGCCTGAGTCACAGCATCCCCATAAAGCCAGATGTCGGGATTCACACAGCAGCTGGCAGGGCGTCCACATCCATCCACACAAGCAGTATTCGAACCAGCTGAGACATGTATCAAGCTTATTAACCACAAACAACTTCAAAGTCCTGGGCTCCTTGACAGTCATACATGCGAAAATATTGAAGTCATTGAGATTTGTCGACATGCAAACCTGAGGAACTGATAAACAACTATTATATTGCGAATCCTGAGCACTTTGCCAAATGATAAACCTGAATCAGGTTATGAATGCTATCTGTTTTCGTGCCTGTTCGGTTGAGCTGGCTGCTTTTAGGGCCAGCGCGTCCCTCCCATTTAGGTCAGACAGTGCCTTCCTGCTGGCCTGATGGGAAGCACACGTTGCTTTGTGATATTGGTGCTGGCTTTTTCTGTTCTTGTGGGCAAATACACTGTCAAACAAGCAAACATTGCATGCCAAAGCAGAGGATTCGTTGTGTTCTGGTGTTGGGTGGATTGGCGCGATAGGAAGAAAATTCTTGAAGGAGTGGGATATACGTTTTCATCAGGGACATGTCGAGTTTAAGCGGCCTACCCCAAAACCTGAATTTTTATAGAAGTCCGAAATACACGTTATTTACGGTGCTCCCTGCCATTGATACTTGCTGCGAGAAGAACCGTGGATAAGTGATCGGTCACTACAGCGGTACCAGCTGACGTCTGACCATGCACAGGTTGAACCTGGCCTTGAGTACATTGCTCAGGAAGCGTTTCTTTGTGTTGTGCTGCGTGTATCTTGAAAGTGTTGTGTGTTGTTACACTGTAGCTACACAAAAAAAGTTGTGGGTTTGCAACAACCCAGGGCCCCCAACAACTTGTTTTCTAGCCTTCATGGAGTCTTCAATGTTCTGGTACTTCTAGAAAATAGTCGTCGTAGTAGTAGCCGAAGGTGGAGTGGTAGTAGTAGTAGTAGTTAGTAGTAGCAGTAGTAGTAGTAGTAGTAGTAGTAGTAGAAGAAGTAGTAGAAGTGGCAGTAGTAGTAGTAGTCGTAGCAGTAGTAGTAGTTGTTGTTGTGGTAGCAGTAGCAGTAGCAGTAGCAGTAGCAGTAGCAGTAGCAGTAGCAGTAGCAGTAGCAGCAGCAGTAGCAGTAGTAGTAGAAGAAGTAGTAGTGTAGTACTAGTAGTAGTAGTAGTATAGTAGTAGCAGTAGTAGTAGTAGTAGTAGTAGTTGTTGTTGTTGTAGTTGTAGTAGTAGTAGTAGTAGTAGTAGTTTTAGTAGTCAAATGTGCGTACCTAGTATTTGCTGATGTTTGGGTAATGTGCGATCACACTATATCAGGCTTACTTTACACGAAATGTGTATACAACAAGTGTCTAACCACAATCTATAAACTGTTTCAACCCAATGATGCCCCCATAGGTTAATCCTTGCAGCAATGCTACTTATCTAGATAGGTAAAGGTTCAAGACATAGCTGATACATACCAGACAAATTGTATAGTTAATAGCTGTCGTTCGTTTCATTGGGAAGGCGATGGCACGCAAGCGCGCGAGCGCGAATAAGGTGTCATAACATATTGCATCCTATAGGGGGAAGGGCAGAGAGAGGGGAGGGAGAGAGCAGGGAGAGGGGAGGGAAGGAGAGGGAGGAAGGAAGATCATGGATCAATGTTGTGGGCAGTTGTTCTGGGGGCACCTTTGATCTCTGGTCTCGGGTGGGTTTCAGTATAAAGACTGAATCATACAGAAACCCAGGTGGTGTAGGGCCAGGGTGGAAAAGTATATGTCGAGGTAGGTTCGGGAGGTATAACGTGCAATATTACATTATTGTGTTTATTCAGTCATGTAGTTATTTGCCTATTTAACACTGTATTTCTTCATGTATTGTTTGTGTATATTTGGATTCATACTTACCATTACGTATTTTCATACTTATGTGCATCGGAAGGCTTACTGCACCGTCGCATCCCTACCATGATTGCGGCTTTGAACACACACACACACACACACACACACACGGCTCGTAAGCTGTATAAACAGTCCAAGAGTCCAACTCGCCAAAGCATGGAGCTTGTTTGCAGGCTAACATGTCGCAAGAACAGGCCTCCGTGCACAGGCACCAAACCCTGCCAAAACTGAGTGGGCACTAATCCCAGCCTTGGTGTAATTGCAACATCAAGTCAGTCATGAGCTACCTGCTGCCTTGCGCAAGAGACGTTTCCTGGGAACGTTTAAATTACTATGAGGACCGCTGACCCTGACCCAAGAGGTGTTGGCCATTAGCAGGAGCTCACAACGAGCACACATGCGACCGAATGAGCTAGAAGGCTTTGGCCATGTCTTGGTTGAGGGAAGGCGGTTCGCCGTCTAGCCAACCTCAGCTTCAAAATTTAGCCTCATGAGTTGTCGGTTAAGCAAGTGTAGCAGTCTTGGCTGATTGCACTTCGACTTGAGATGGCCAAGTTCCTCTTCAGAAAACGAATGCTGTTCTTATGTACATGTAAACTGTGCCAGGCAGACTGACACAGCACGTGTGCTGGCCTAAGCAAGTTTTGGATGAGATTTTTGGTCGATAAGGCCTGATCCATACTTCAGTCAGGCATGGCGTGAGCAAGACGGAAGACTACCGTCCGGAAGAACACCATGTGAGCCACCAGGCAAGCCACCACTCTTCACACAACGAAGGTCATCACAGCCATGCTCTCCACCAAAGCACTGTTCACCACCCTCCACAAATTCACGACGGTGATGGCAATTTGCGTCATCAGGAGCATTTTCCTCACCCTTCACACCTGCACCAAGGTCATGCCCATGCATGCCAGCAAGGCCATTCTCATGTTCGGGGCGGCTACCAGGGCCATGCCATGTCTTCTAACGAGACTGTTCGCCCAAGGCCAACTAGGGCGCACACAGTCCCACTGCCTGGCAGCCATCCATAGTTGGCGAGCTTGCCATGCGGCAAAATTCTTGGCCTGTCTCCGTGCGAAGCATGCGACCTGGCCGGCGAGACGCGATGCCAAGAAAGCATCCGAAGTTTACAAACGCAACAGAAGTCAGTAAGACATATAACGAGACGAGACACTGCATCTTCAATGGAATAGATGGCACTCGGCAAGTGCCGACAACTGTTACAACGTCTTAACGCGTCCTGTGCACTTCGAAGTACATTTTCTGACCTGGTGTCTTGTATACAGCACTGTGAAGACGGGTAGACGTCCTCCCTCCATCTGCATGCCGCACATGCATCTGCCAGTGTTTTTCTCCCCGGAGCTGTGTTCTAAAGAGGAGGACTGCTAAAGCTTGCGAAGGTGGCTGAGCACTCTTGTGACATGCCCCAGAAACCATGGCACTGGCATCTGAATTCCGCAGCCAAGTATGCATTGACTTAAGTGCGGCGGCTGCTCGAGTCTTGCGCTGGCCAAATGGTGTGACGCTCAGGTTGGGAATTGAATCGGGGACACAACACGTCAGAGAATCCTCAGGTACAGAAGACGTTGAAGCTGAACAAGCAGAAGCAGCCAAAGACCCACAAAAATCAGGCATCTGGGTTTGCAACTTGACAGCATCTCGTTGACGTCAAGACGTGGGGCTCTCTGCCTCAGCAAGAATTACACTGTTATATCGCCTGACACATCTGTTCCAAACCAGAACGATCGTAGCAGGGTCATCGACAGTTTACGCCGTTTGCGCCCACATGATCGCGTGTGCAAGATTGTGCACGTCGCGCATACCCATTCGGCTGCAGACCCTGCTGGTGTGGACACTTCTGAGCAGGTATAACCTGCCGCTTGCGGTGTCGACTTGTCCATCACATGCTCTGCATTTGCCTTCGGCGCCGCCCGAACGCTCCTGGAATGGTCCCGTTGTTGACAGACTTCAGCTCGGCATGCGCAGTGAATCGGTCCTATCCGTGGCCCACCAATTCGTGGAATGTGCATAGAGGGTTGGCCGCAGATGGCCGCAGGACACGAGAATAGGGGCCACCTCCCACAGGGAGGTGGTTGCCAGAGGCTTTGCTGCTCCAGCCCTCACATCGCATGGTAGGGCTGCTCGTGCTCCATGGCCTCATCGAAAAGACGGGCGGACATGCGACAAGCGCCAGACCAGCAGGCGGCGGAAGGTTTGGCCAGTGACGCTTCGGACCTTGCTGTTTGCCGCAAGATGGTTCATTTTCTGCGCGCATCTGCTCGGGGGGCAGGCTCGTAGCTGCATCGGTCCGCAAGCTGCCTCGGAGGTTTCCAAGCGCCATTCGTAGTTCTCGGCTGGAACTGCAACAGCTCGACCGGGACGGGTCGGCCTTCGATACCAACGCCACGCCCAAGCAGTCAGCTCGCCTTGTCGCACGTTGGAGCCCGCCACCTCATGCCAACATCTCGACGGTGCACAGCCACCACCGCGCACCTCTTCGGACCTCTACTTCGACGCGTGGGCTCGCAACGGCTGCCTGCGTTGCCTCGGTACAGTAGGTACCGATAGCCTTATAAGGGCTGGCAGCCGACACCGCCTGGATATGCCCGGACAATCCTGGACGGTTCATCAGAATGCAGAAGGGCGAAGGAGAAAACAAAAGCATGACGATGGTATACGATGGTATACCATGGCTACTTCATGCTATATACTTCTATAGTGCTGCGAATGCTACTCGTCAACTCAACCTGCAATCCACTTGTCAGCCTCTTGGACGAGGAGGCGCAAAAACTGCAAATTACAGCTACACATGCTGTCAAATTGCGCATGAGCATGACATATAATAAAGTCGCTGTCATTCATGAGCACCGACTTGTTGATCAAACAAATTCAAGAAGTCTTGTTCAGCGCGGTGCAAACATCACAAGGGCTTTTGACGGCATCCGTCGCGACGTGATCGGGTCTGTGCACGTGCTCAGAGCAACTCTCGGTTCCATTGAAGCATGCCAAGCAGCACAACCCCGCGTAAGGCGCTGAGGCAGATGAAGGATGCGGCCTCCCGCTCCCACTCCAACGCCCGTCGGTTTCGCCGAACAGGAAGAGACGCCGACGGCGACTACCTCAGCACGGTGTCCGTCGCTCGCGGGCAAACCGAGGGTGTCACGGAGTGCGACGTGCGAGGCTACCCGAGCGCCCGCGAAAATGTTTCTGGACTTCGTCGGAGGCTTCGGGAGCTCGATTTGGGTTTGGGGACGAGGGCCAGGAACACCAGGAAAGCTGAACTAGCTTTGAATGCATTTTCCAAGCCTTGACACAATGCATGTTGGTGCCTTACCAAACTCAGTAGGATTTTCGGTTTTAGGGACGGCATTGAAGCTCCAGGTGTAGTGAAACGCAGGCCATATGTGTTTAGCAGGCCTTGTGGAGCTTGCACACACGTCAGAGGTTCGAGACTCACTGCCACTTGCACGCGGTTTGCATGGCTCACGGTTAAACATGTGGAGTTTGTACGCAAGAAGAAACAGACCAGACCTGGCCTCGAACCACTCGCCCGAACGAGCCCGAACCTTTGCCTGGAACCTGCTCCCCGCAGCCCGCCCCGCCCCTGAACCGAACCCGCATAGCTTCGCAACATGCCCAGAACCTGCGGAACCTGCCCCCGAAACCTACCCCGGAAGCCGCCGCCTCGGAACTCGTCAAAGAGTAAACCCTGGCATGTACTGCTTGAGGCATCACCGTGTAATGCGAGCCTGCAGTTGGCAACTCGCCCCACACGTCCTGGCGAGCAATCGCGGATGGCGCCCACTCACCAGCGGTGACTGACAGGGACTTAGGCAGCTGGCCGCAGGGCTGGCAGCACAGTGCGTCACTAAATGTCACGAACTCGCAACCTACACGCACGTTGCTACCAGACGCATGCCGCCCAGTGCCAGTGCGCTCTTGCGCTCTCAAGCTGGGCCGATCATCCGCCATCCCAGCCGAGCCAGCCACCCCGCAAGCAATGCAGCTGGCCTTGCGCCGCGTGCGCGCCTCCCTGCCCCTCCGTCTACAATCGGAGCGGCCCTCTCCCGGATGCGGGGGGCGCATCGACGTGTTCGGCGACCATACCTTGGCCTGCCCTCGCGCTGGGCTCGTAACTCGGCGGGCAAAGATCGTCGAACGGGCGTGGGCTGAAGGGTCGCACGCGAAGCCGTCGGGGCAGACGGTCAGGTAGTCCTGCAGCATTGGCTCTTCGACACCACTGTTCCTGGCGTTGCCCCAGGCGACAGACGCCGTTTCGACTTGGTGATCTATATGGAGCATCGCGTATGCGAGGAGCACTGTGCAGCGACGTGACCCGTGTCGCTGCTGACCCGAACGGGCCAACCGCAACCCTGCACCGCAGTGCACGACGGCGCCATGCTGCGTGTTGCCGAGCCGCAGCGGCTCGTCAGCGACATTCAGAGACTGGGTGCGCATCCGAGCCCAACGAGCCCCGCCGGCACTGCGAGCAGCAGCGGTCCAGCAGGCCGTGACCAGCACGGCGCTCGGAAGCCCGTGGCCCGCTCCACCACACGCGAGGCAACAGCAGGGCCCACAGCTAAACCTCGTGCCCGACCTCGCCGAAGCAGCGGGGCCGAGCCGACTGCCACTGCGCTAGCCGCAGTCGGGCCATAGGAGCCGTAGGTTTGACTGGAATAGGTGACGCGACCTCGCTGGACCCGCATTAAGCAGGCGGAGAAGTCCCGTCAAAAAGATTAGAAATACTAATAAGAATAATAATAATGATGATGATGATAATGATAGTAGTAGTAGTAGTAGT